CAATTCCAAGTCAGGGCACATGCCTAGGTTGCAGGCCACAGCCCCCAGCAACTGCACATTGATGTCTCTCGATCTTTCTCCCTCCCTTCCCTCTGTAAAAATAAATAAAATCTTTTAAAAATGTCTACTATAAAGCCCCAAACTCACAAATAAAATTCACCGAGTGACCACGGAGCATGTACCACGTGCACTCGCCACACCAGACGTCGGGAGATGCAGCAGTGATCAGGAGAGCAGTAGTCGTTGAGCACTTCCTACACACATTGACTCATTTCGCCTTCACGGCAACCCTATAGCTCCCACACTAACGCGATCCTCACTTTACAAAGGAGGAAACTAAAGCACAGAGATGGAGAAACTGCTCCAGGTCACAACACAAGTAGTAGAGCTGGAACTCAAACTCTGGCAGAGTTTCTCTTATTGTGTATGTTTGACGTTATTAAAGCCCTCCGCAGGCCCTCGTGGACCTACCAGATAGTGCATTCCCCAGTCCTTCCCCCAGTGTGGGCTCAGCTGCAGTCCGATGCTCTCAATTTGGTGATGCTATTCTAAGTGACCTCCTTGTTTTCCAAGTTCCAAGTAAACACATTTGCAGAAATGGCACATTGACTTCCAAGTTTTAATAGGCTTTGGCAACACTGTTGTGTTATCTCAAAGGAAAGCAGGAGGCTTTGCATCCCTGTGTCATTACTTCCCCTGGAAACAGGACCCTGAGCAAGAACAGTGCCTGGTAAGATGGCACTGCCTGGACAAGCCCAGCTGAGGGGCGGCTGGGGGCTTCCCCTTGGAGATCCATGAACTGCGAGGCTGAAAATCATAGCTGATGCAGCTCAGACAAACCCTGAACACATTCTATGTTAAAGAGCCATGTTCAAAAACAATATCTTCTCTTACTCATAAACCCGTTCCTAGCTGCTTGAATCTTGTCCCCGTAATTGATAGTATAACAGGGCTGTCAAACTCACGTTCACCGGGGGCCACATCAGCCTCACAATTGCCTTCAAAGGGCCAAATGTCACTTTAGGACTGTGTACATGTAACTGCTCCTTAACAGTTAAGTGAGAGCTCGGTGCTGCCATTAGGTAGAAACAAGGTGCAGAGCTGGACAAAACACAGTGGAGGGCCACGTTCGGCCAGCGGGCCTTGCATTCGCCACCTGTGGTCTAGTCCAAACTATGACTTTGAACTCAATCACGTGTCATCGTGTGTTGGTTACAGTTTCAAAGGCGTTGGTCTAAAATTCAAGTCTGTAAACCAGGACCAGAGACCACGGCTCATTTTCTAGGACTGGCTGAAGCTCGTAATAGATGTTCAATAAATCCTTAACAGATCAAACAAGTTAACTAGGATGCTTATTAGACAGACTCACTTAGTAAAAATTGGATTTTATTGACATTTCCTACATATAACATATGTATTCTTTTTCCTATTTTTAAAAAGGTTTTAAGATCTCATTTTATTGATATAAGATATAATAAAGGAAAGGTAAAGTAAACACAAACCTTTCATTCAAACTATATGGTTTGGGGGACAGAGGAGAGGAAAACCATCTCGTAGGAAAAGGTTTAATAGCTACAAAAGGAGTAATGCCAAGATAAGTTCACATGCTTGGTGTGGCTATAATAAACTCAGTTACCGGTAGATAAATCACACACCACTGCTGAAATCTTAACTGGAAAAGTGCACGCCCTATGTCAGATTATAATGCTGAGTAAATATGGACCCCTATCTAGCTGTCGTTGCCACTCATTCCATGCATTTATTAAGTTTGGGGCATGGCCCCATGCACATTGGGACAGGGAGGTCTCTAGAAACAGACTGTGATTAAGACAAAATCCTACAAAGGAGGAAAGCTATACATGTACGAACCAATTTTGTGTATAGCATGATACTATCAAAGTTAATTGTTTAAGACAGACTTCAAGGGCAAGGGTAATTCAGAAAAACCACTATGATCATGCTGGATGCTGGGAGTTTTCTATTAACCTGTCTTTTGAATGTATAGTCATCTGCATGGACAGTCCTCTTCCTTACTTAGACCCCAGGATCTGGAAAGTTCAGCCCCCTCTGTGGATACCTCTGGGATGAAGAAAAGGGCCCAGACTTTGAAGTTGGACGAACCTGGCTTTGAATGAATCTTGGCTCTCACATGTATTAACGTTGCGGCCCTGGGCAGGTTTACTGAATCCCTCCGAGTCTGGGTTCCCTCCTCTGTAGGGCCCAGACTACAAATGCTGCAGTGTGGCTTTGAGGATTGGGGGTAACACGTGTAAAGTGCATGGAACAGTGCTGAATACATAGTCCTCAAAGGGTCACTAAGTGACGTATTACCACAGGCTAACAGAGGGAGGGGCTGCTTAGGGGAAGTCACGTAGAAATGTACAAGGGGGGGTGGTGGGGGGAGAACAAAGATTATCCTCAACCCATCTTTTCGTCTCCATATCCTTTCAGGTAGAAAGTCATATTTATGACCTTGACCGTAGCCATTTTAATATTAAATCCATCCTCTATATCAGCAAATGATTTTAAGTCAAGTTCAGAAGTGACTTCTGGAGTCCTTTCTCTTGTGCTAAAGCTCCCCACCAAGACATCTGGTAAAGAGCGGACCCCACAGAACCAGATGGCGTTCGCCGAGCAGTAGAGCTTTGCTGTGGTACTGACAGCGGAATCAGGGGTCATGTAAGAATCGGAGAGTCTGTTTCCCAGAAGGCCCATTCTCAGCCTGGTTTACGGTGGACGTGGTAGAAGGGCTGACTACTTGTCCATCTGCAGAGGCCCCTGCCTCCGAGGGCCTGTCTAGATGGGTTTGCACTGTGACCTGGGTTGGGGACCCTGGATTCTACAGCAGACGCTCCCCCCAGCCCCCCAGCTTTCATGCACCTCTCATTAGCTGCAGGTGCTGGGTCAGGAGGTCCAGGACTCTCACCAGCTTCCAGACGACACCCACGTGGCTGGTTTCCAGACCACAGTCTCACTAGCAAGATGTCTACAGGGCCAGGACAATCAGAATTCACAAGCCAAGGGACACACAGTATTCCATTCTTAGGGTTTGCAAAGAAAAAGGGGCGCAGCAGCTGCCCACCAACTTTGTCTTTAAGAAAATCGCTGACTTAGTGGGGTGTACTCCTTGGTAAGCACGAGTGAGGCTTCTCGAGCACCAGAAATACTCCGCACTGTCCCCAAGGGGAGGCTGCATGGGTGCATGCATTTCTAACCAAACAGTGTACACTTGTGTACTTACTGTCACCTAGAACTCAGTTTTGGAGGGAAAAAAACCCTAAAATAGAAAATGAAGGAATAAGAATGCAAAGAAAAAAATCACTACATTATGGAAGTCAAGCCAATGAACACACAGAGCTCTCAACTCCCATAAAGGGAGTAACTTAAACCCCCCAAACTTAATATTCACAGGGACTAACTACTCTCTCCAACTAGAAATATCCTCTTCCATTCCTCTTAATGAAAACACATCAAGCACTGCTAGTGTCTCTTGTGGAGGCTCTAGGTGTGAAAGAAACCCTGTTTGAAAAACCTGGGGGCAGGGCGGAGGGACACAACAGCAGCCTAGTGAAGGAAGTCGCTTAGAGCGTTCCCCAGGCACCCCTGGTTCCTGGAGACCGGACGTGCATTCCATAACTGTCGCTGATTCACGTGCGGTCTGGCCTTCAGGGACAGAACGAATGAGCGAACCATCTCAGGGACACTGTCCCCATTAAGCTAGAGGCTTTAGGTGGTGGGGAGGGGAAAACAATGTGTCCAGAGAAACGCTGTGGTCATGGGGGTGACACACAGGGCCGGACCCAGGCAAGCGGTCCCCGTGCCAGCACCACGAGGCCACCTACGTCCCAGGAAAGGCAGCCCTTCCCAAGAAGGGACCTGTTGAGTCACCTAAAAGGTCATCATTCCACCGCCGAGGACAGATCTTAAAGCACAGTAGTGATGTACTGATGGCGTCTCTGTACCACTAAACGGAGCAGCCCTGAACCACCTACACCTGTGCCTTTGAGTGCATGCTGCCACGTTTCTTGCAGCTGAAAACACTGTGGTTGATTAACACGCTATAACATGATAAATAGCAAAACTGCCTATTAGGTTCACTCCTGGGGGTTGCAGTGTTACCTAGTACAACCCAATACCTGTCTGGGCACCCCAAACAGTCTATGGTTCCCAAAGACAGAGACAGAGTCTGGTGTGGGTGTGGGATCCCAGTACCTTCCACAGGCCCTTTAAAAAAAGCAGGCTGCTCTTGAAGGCTTGAGGGTGCGTGCCTGCTCCATCCAGCGAGAGCGGGGAACAGAAGCCAAGACTTCAATGGTGAAAAACACATCAACCCTCACCTCCGAACAGCTGCGAGCAGCCAACAGCGCCTCCCTCCTTTTCTTGAGAGTAAAACCACCTGGGGAGCATTTTCCAAACTGCAGGCTCCCCCGCTCTATCCAGGCTGAGTTTTAACAAGCGCCTGGGTGATCTGCGGGGCCGTATTTCCCCAAGGCTCTCCCTCTGCTCAACAATCTCGACGTTTTCTTCTTCTCACTCAGCACACCCCATCTCAACCGCCTGCAATCCTCCCCCCATCCCTTTGCCCACGGAGGCGGGGACAGTATTACACTCTGTCCCCGCAGAAGGTCACAAGACCGCGGAGCGCCAAGGATTTACTTGTTGGCGTTGTGTTTTCAAAACAAGACAAAAAATTCGTCTTTGCCTTACTGTTTACACCCACAGTTCAGTCCACTTTCCTTATAAACTTTCCATCTTTTCCTCTCCATTTCCTCCACGCAAGCATTCCAAAGACCTGTGAACAGCCTCAGGACCTTAGGACACAGACTCCAGGGACAAACTCCAGGGTGCCCGTGGTCGCCCTGGCCCAGAAATCACGGACAAAAGTGTGCACCACGGAGAGCTTATCCAGAGTGCTCCCAGCACCACTTTGGCCACCTGGTGCCCCAAAGCCGTCCTTTGCAGAGCCGCCCTCCCACCAGCCGGGCGACTCCGAGGCTTACCTGAAACACGTGGTGAGCTCGCCTGAAGCCTTCAGACACGGGTATTTGGTCGTGGTGATTTTGTTTTCTGAGCAGACTTCTCTACGAAAAAGAGGCAAAGCCGTTGGTTCTCCGCGTGGGAGCGTAGGCCAGTGCGCTCTGGGGGATCTGCGTCCCGGAGCGCGGAGCAGGCTCTGAGCCCCGAGCGCGGACGCCCAGCGAACTCCCGGGTCAGGGGCGGGCCAGGCGAGGGTCCAGCCCAGGGAACCCAGCCCCGGGCCACAGGAGCTGAAGAAGCGGATCACATGAGAGCAGCAGGAACGGGGGCAAGGCGGCACGGTTGGGGGAAGCGCAGCCTGAGGGCGCGGAGGTCGTCACCCGGGACAGTTGAGCGCCCAGCGGACCGCTGACGGAGCGAAGGTGCGCGGATCGCTGCGGAGGCGGGGGACACCGCCTGCACCCCGACAGCCCGGCGTGCACCAAGCAGGAGCTGGCAGTGCTTACCTGTCACTGTTCTCGGGCTCCTCGCGGTAGCTCCACGTGTGTCCCAGAGCCAGGAGCAGCAGCAGCGGACCCAGGCTCTTGGCCAGCTGCCCCCTCGCCGCTCCTCCCCGGCTCGGAGGCGGCAGCACCATCGGGGACGCTCCCGGCTTCTTCCCGGCGCCTGAGCCCTCTCCCCGCCCTGCACCCTGCTCCTCCGCGGCCGCCGCAGCCGTCCCTCTCCCCGGCAGGGGGTGCTAGAGGGTAGGGGCTCTTGCGCCACCTGTGCGAGGCAGAGGGGCCCGGAGTTGGCGAGGCTGGGGGGCCAAGGTAGAAACTGGGGTGCAGAGTGCAAAGTCGGTAGGCCGGCAGGTGAACGCGGCTCACGGAGTGCCCTGTTGGCGCGAGGGTGGCAGGGTGCAGGTCGTCTCGCCCAGGACTGGCGCGCCGAGTTGACAGACTTGCTCTCTTCAGCTTTGGGCTGCGCCCTCCCTCTGGCCTCTTCCCGGGCTGCGAGAGAAGGGCAGGGTGCGGAGAGCAGGCGGCTGCTCGCATTTTACATCAGGGTCGCCCGACCAAGAGGAGGAGGAGCCGCTTTTCCCCGGGGGAAAAGGGGGGGCAGAGGGGTTAATACGCTTCCTTCCTGTCGTCAGTTGATTTCTAATGACCAGGGTCAGGACGTTTGCTTTCTCGCCTCGAGCGCCTGCCCCGGGTTTTCCCGCTGCCCAGTTTTCTCTGCGCGGAGGAAGGAGTTGTGGAGAGACTGCAGCGGCTCTCCCAAACGGCCTTGCAAACCTGAGATAGCACGACCTCCAGCCTGCCATTAAAATCCCTTAGAAGTGCCCCCGGTCGCTCCTTTTAAGAGCCGCTAGCTTCTTCCTGAGATCGAAATAAGTAATGAGCTCCTAAGGCCTCTTTGTGGGTATTTAAAATCCTCTTGCCCTGAGCTGCTTTAATGCTGTTTGAATGCCACGCACACACGTGAGAGCTGGAAACTCCTGGAAGATCAGCTGAGAGGGTGAAGGCCCCCGCCCCCACCCCCAGTAACACCGTGGTGTTTAGGGGTAGCCTGAAAACCAGGCTGGGGGAAGTCAATCAGCTCCTTTGGAGGGGACACAGCTGTAAATTCGTATAGGTCTGCATCTTAACACTTCATCGCACAGGGGAGTTCCCGTGCTTGGTAAAGAGAAACTCATGATGTAAACGTGCCCCGCAGAGCCAAAGCAAGTGGCCGTGGCCCGGTGAGAACCGGAAGAGCAAGAGGCTGCAATGCCCAGCCTCTAACAAACGCCCAGCTCTGCACCTCCCAGGACCATGAGATGAAAGGGTAGTCTGGTCACAAGTCACGGGTGTGCTACCCGGTTAGGCACACAAGCGTTTTCATTCAAAATATTCTGATCAACTGAGAATTACCATACACAACCCATACACCTTGACATTTTTAATAGCGATGGCATCCTCATTCCCCTGCAGCATGCATCTATATTTTCCAAAGGTTTTTCTTTTCACATTTATGATTTTTGTTAGATATTCAAAATAGCCCTTGAAGCTAGGAGTCTGACTTCCTAGTTCAGTGAGGTGTTTTTTTTTCCCTGCGAATCTCACATAGACATGGAAGACCATAAAACACACAAATATTAAAATATGGAGCTAAACAAAATTAATTTTCTCGTGGTAATTCAGAAGCCTCTGCAAAGCTTGCGAAACCCGAGAGTGATGGTTGTGGAGTAAGGAAAGAAAACCCACACTAGATTTAAACCCAATTTGTGGGCTTCCTAGGTATGCGAACTTGGACCGGGCACTTAACTTTTCTGAAACTCAGTTTTCTCATCTGTAAAATGGGGAAACCTCTTTCCTAAATGCTTGTGAGTATTAAACGGGGTGACGCATACAAAGCATTTTCATAGTGCCAGGCATGTATTGAGCGCTCAGGAGACATTGTTATTTTTAGCCTAAGTTATTGTGCAGGCTTTTCAGCTTTAGCTTTTAAGCTTTCACTTTCTGGGTATCTCGGAGTTTATTTCACAACAGTTGTTTGGGGTCCTAAAGAGGCAGGTGTGTCTCTCTGAGCACATGAAAAATGAACCCACCCTGGAGCTCGTGGAAACTGTTATCACTTTAAAATGACCCACAAATGTGTTTATTCTTTATTTTGCAGGGAAGAGGCCATCCTATAAGCAGGTCCTGATTTTATTTTACCAATTGTTCTATTTTCATACCTTTTTTCCTCATCTTTACTCCTTTCGTTTTCCTGCAGTTGCGTTGTGGATGTCAATTCCACAAATAATAGAGAATGGTGTAGGAGATTAGCTATCAGCTTCACTAAATGGTTAATAAGCCACATATGGGGACATGCAGGCTTGCAGAGAAAGTGAATCAGGCTGCAAATGATAAAAGTAATTATGCACAGCTGTGTGGCAGAAGCTTGGGGACAGAGCCAGCTTTGCCACCTCCTTAGTGTGAGCCCCCCACACTGAGCACAGATCAGAATGAGGCGTCAGAGAAGGTGCTGGGGCCAAGCGAACAGCCCAGATTTGCCCAGGGAGGCAGTCCCGAGGGTGGGTGGTCAGAGCGTTTCTGGAAGAGGTGAGCTGCAGCAGAGACCTTTTGAAAACCTTTGCCTGGAGGCCTGGAACTTACACTAATTGGCAGCTCCTGGCAGCATGACCTTCGGTGTCCGGCTTGAGGGGCTGGCTGGAGGGCAAAGCCGAGCAGAAGATGAGGCTGCCAGGTGTGGCTACCAGTCCCCTGCGAAAGTGAGCTCTCCTATGAAAGACAAAGCCCGCGTCTGCTCAGGCTGTGGCCCCAGTGGGACCTGTCAGAATGAGGCTGAGTGTGGCAGGGAGGGTCGTGCTGGGCGCTGATTGGTCGAGGTGAAGTAAGGGGACGAATCATTTCCCCAGGTCGTAAGGACAACTCTGAGGTCCTTCCCAGCGTCCCTCTGTCTGGTCTCATGGGAAAGTAGCCAGGCGGTTGCTCCACCTTAGGGCTCAGGAGCCGAAACATAACCTAGGTCAAGATGTTATCTTCAGCCTGCCAGAGGTCTGGACCTTGTGACAAATATTCAGGTCCCCGGCTACTGTCCTCTGCTGCCCCCTGCCCAGGGCTGCTGATTACTCGGAGGAAAGGCTAGGTCTCTGTGAGGGGTAGCCATGTAGAAACAGAGAGATGATTTCTAGAGCCGACCTTTGAAACTAAATTTAATCAAAGACACGAGGCCCCTCGATTTCAACCTCCTTTATGAAACACCAGATGAGCACACTCACCTCCTGCCTCTCCCGACCAAGCGTTACGAAGATTAATGACATGGACCTAAATGCTCCTCCGGGAGGCCCTGTATGATTATTTCTTTTCAGCATACCACTCTCCACGATGTTTTCCACATCGGCCTGTCAGCTTCCCTGAAACAAACCAGAGGGTGCATAGTTATACAATTGACCATGGCCTGGGCTGCAGGCCTGCGTCAGGGGCTTGAGGGCCTGGACCCCTTGGTGGCCCCGGTGTTGTTGAGGATGGAGGAGTGTTGTGTGGGGAACATGGGGGGTGGGGGAAGACGGGAGGTGGGCTGAGAATACAGAAGCCAGCAGGCAAAACTGGAGTGAAAGAAAAAACGAGAAGGAAAGCTATGCATAGAACAGAGAGTATCCTTCTAAATAAAACCAAGGACCTCTTCCCCTCATTTTCTTAGCCTTTATTTATTTTTTAATGGAGGCAAAATCTACATATAACTTACTAGTTTCAGGGGCACAACCTAATGATTCACTCCATAGAGAGAGAGAAATAATCACTACAATAAGGTCAGGTAACCTCCATCACCACACAAAGTTGCAACTTTTTTCTTGTGATGAGAACTTTTAAGATCTGTTCTCCTAGTAACTTTCAAATCCCCAATACAGGATTATTAACTGCAGTCACGTGCTGTGCATTCCAGACCCATGACATTCATTTTATAACTGGACAGTTGTGTCTTCGTATCACCTCCGCCAATTTTGCCCACTCACTTTTAAGCGGCTCCAGCATCTCGTTGGGAGAAAATCAACACAGTATTAGAAAAGAGAAATCACTAAAAAAAAAATAATAAGTTACTCTTTAAAAAAAGCACCAGCCATTGGGGGCACAAATCATTTCACTAGTATTTGTTTTACATTTTCCCAATTAAAAGGATTTCTGGCGGCTGACAAAAAACACATACTATCTTACAGTATGTATATTTCTTTATATATTCTGTATAGTATAGAGCAAGACTGAATAAAGCAATTAAGGCAAAGGGAGAAAATTAGGGTTGAACGATAAAATGAAGCTGACAACCCGAGGTCCGCGGGCAGGATTGTATAAGCAGAAAGTCCTGTGCTGTGTTTAAAACAGACCACCAATCAGGTCTCAGATTCTCAGAAGTCCATTCAGGGTCACTGCATGATCAGTTACAAGATTCAAGGTAGCCATAAAGGAAAAACGTGTACACTCCTAAAAAAAAAATGACATATTTTTTCTTGTAGGCCTTCCTGAAATGTCACAACAGCTATCTACTGCCGGGAAAAGGTCTTCTGCAGAAACAAGACTCGACAAGTGCGGGGAGAGTTCCCACTGACTTGTGTGTTACAAAACAACATCATACCCCGACAATGAACAGGCTGCCTTGATGCCTTTCCTTCAGTTTCAGTTTTGATTGACATAAGGCCAGGTCAGCTTAGAGAATCAAGGTTGCACCTTGAAAAGTATTGAAGTGCACCAGCCTCCAAACCATCAGGAGGAAATGCTCGAGGCAAGAACAATCAAACGTGTTCATACAGATAGAGGGTTCCTAGCCCTGCTTTTGGGGCGCGTGCATTATCTTTGCACTTAGTCGACCTTCGCTTTAACCTGCAGTAGACGGAAGCTGTGGGCCTCTGGCATTTTCTCCCAAGACAGGAAGACAGGAAGAAATATCTGATTCCTATATTTATGTCAAAATCGCAGTTTTTTTTTTAGCTGAACTTTGAAGTAAATGCAATTTTAAAAGATTCGTTAGCCCTATGTATATACAGGCTGCTGGAAGAAAAAAAATCTATGAACCATACAAAAAAGAAAGCTTTCTTGTTACTTGGTTAAATGTTTCAAAATAATCAAGAAAAATTATTCATGGGATTTGAATGTCACGTTCTTGGAAGCCCTCATACAGCAGCCATGTCTGGCGCTCCTCCCAGAGGAGGAGCTCCTTGAGGCAATCCGTGCTGTCAGGCTTCTGCACCAGCGAGGGTTTCTAGACGTGGGTCCTAATACCACCCGATTCTGTGGCTCCCCCTGGGAGAAATGGAGACCAGACTGGAGGACATGCGGCTGGAATGGCCCCATCTCCCGGTCCCCACAGCCTGAACCAGGGAGGGGGATGGGTTGGCGCCAGAGGTGGGGCTGCCCGCCCACACCACGAAGACTCAGGTAGAGAAAGGCTGTTGGAATTCTCCCAGGATTTATGAACCGGCTCCACTGAGTGTAGGGGCTCCGATCCCACAACTTCTCTGCTTCACTTGTGTAGGGCTGATTCTGTTTATGTGCCTCAGCCCCATGAGGGCAAAAGTTCTTGTTTAATATTTATTGAGAACTGGGAAAGACTCAGCTCTGTAAAAATTGTATTGAGCTAAGGTGACAGGTAATAAGAATGTTCACTTTAAAAGTTTCCTGGCCTGAGCCAAGATATCTTTTATGGTGAATAACTCTATTACCCGTGTCGGCAGAGCACGGGTACGGACCATAGTTAAAAATATTTTTTCCCCGGGGTTTGAGTCTGACTTCACCTCCCTCCTTTAAAACTGCACTTGGAGAAATAGCACTGGGAAAGTAAAAAGAAATTAGACTTAAAAATCAAGTTTGAAATTCAACTGTACCACCTAGAATCTCAACGACCCTGACCAAATTACATAACCTTCCTGAGACCAGGTTTATCCATGAAAAGAATTATAGAAGCAACAATCTCCAAGTCAGGACTGTTGAAAAGAATAAATGAGATACAGAACAGGCATGAAGTCACATCAGAGATAATCAATAATAGTAATATTTTCATTGCTTTTCTTCAGTAATTTGGATGCAATTATGCAGCATCATCCGCGCTGTCTCATCTGATTTGTTTTCCATGAGAGATCCTTGGTGAAACAGA